TCAGTTGATTTACGATTGGCTTCAATCTTTCACAAAATACGTTTGACAGAACCTGCGATAGTTGGCGCAGTTTGCAGGATCACCTTTTTTGTGGATTGGGCAAAGAATCTTAACTTCCAATCGTTGGGTATGCATTCGACCATATGTTGCGAATTAGCTGTAGCATGCATTTTGATAGCTATAGCTTCCAGCTTTAAACAGCTCAGCCGGTAAACCATCGGCACCTGTAGCTTTGTTGTTTTTGAGCCGCGTTATAGGTGTTTTAACTTCATTATGATCGGGAGGTGAGACGATTATTTCATCACCAACGATTGAAAATTCGGAATCATCTTCGCTTTCAGTCACATTACTACTACCGCCATTTAGCGGTTTCAAGTAGTGATTCCTTCAAATATTAAGCATGCTTTGGACATCTATCACCAGATTACCGTTTTCATCTTTGCAGGAATCAACTCCGAGTTTATAACCATTTGTCAGGCTTTTAATTTTTTGACAGAATTTTCGTGCCATATTCCTGTCGCCCAGCTTCTCAAGCTCTACGTACTCACGTCCTTCTGTTTCCTTCTTTTTTCGCCTGAAAAGTCGTTTTTCTTCCCTTTTCTTTTGCCGATATTGCGGCTTGATAATAATAAAATTATTAAAATAATAAAATAAATATGTAAAATAACAATTTTGTATTATTTACTTTTAAAATATTCATTATATTTATTTCTGATCATTTATCCAGCAGACAAATAATGCGATTTTTACATCTAAATCAACATATGATATGCAATTCTTTTCTTTGTTTTGCTCAGTTTCTTACTTTTCGTCATTAAAAAGTGCCATGGTTGCCAAAATTCAACAAAACAAATTTGAAACTGTTGTTGTTCCCAATGTGATGGGATTATATTTGAGATTTAATGAAAACACATTAATTATATGAACAGTTTATTTTTATTTTATTTAATCATTTATTAGTATATTATTATTATGATCTTAGTCAGATCACGTTCTACAATGGACTGTCTTCAGAAACTTATTCTAAATCTTACAATAGTTTCATTGTTTATTTTTAATTGATATATTTATCTTATTCTAACAATATTCTCTTAATTCTAATTGGTTATTCTTATATACTTTGCAATTATAATTTCCATATACTTCCTATTTATAAATGACACATTACCTAAGACAAGAAATGCATAGCAAGTATTTACTGTGCATTTGTTTGCCATGTGTCTCATATTCACATGTGTTCCGATTTGTGTGGTGTCAATATATTTGACATTTATATATTTGATATTTTTTTGCTGAATATCTTGAGGAATCATTTACGCCTAACTGCGGTCAAGATGACGAAACTTATGACGAAACAGACAATCGTTTGATTTTAGAACCTGAGGTTCAGATCCGTCCTGTTACTCCAATAGAGCTAGAACAGGAAATTCAAAAGCTGAAAAATAAAAAATCGCCAGGTTTTGACCTCATCACCGCCGAGGTATTAAAAAAGGTTCCTAATAACATAGTTCTAAGGCTTACTAATTTATTCAATTCGTGCATTCTATTAAAGTACATTCCGAGTCTTTGGAAAGTAGCCGATGTTATAATGATTCTCAAACCCGGGAAGCCAGCGCCTGAGGTCTCATCGTATAGACCAATTTCGCTTCTACCAGTATTATCAAAACTGCTCGAAAAAATTATTGTTAAACGTCTTAACAAACTTATTGAGGACAGAAAATTGATCCCAGACCATCAATTCGGATTTAGAAATAAACATTCTACAATCGATCAAATTCACCGAATTACCAATGTAATTGAACAAGCCTTGGAAGGAAATAAAGTTTGCTCTGCTGTTTTTCTTGATGTAGCCAAAGCATTTGACAAAGTATGGCACAATGGTCTTATGTTAAAGCTGCGAAGCACGCTCCCTAAACAATATTGCGATCTCTTGGAATCCTATTTGACTGACAGATTCTTCCGAATCAAACAAAATGACATTACATCTGAGCTGAAAACAATCAAAGCTGGGGTGCCGCAAGGTAGTATTCTTGGCCCAACTCTCTATTTAATATTCATAGCCGATCTCCCTTCTGCGCTGGATGTTTGTACTGCTACCTTTGCAGATGACACAGCTCTTCTGAGTATTGGTTCAGACGTTGATGATTCAACTAACACACTTCAGGCTACGATTTCTGAAGTCAGTAAATGGTGTAAGAAATGGCGAATAAAACTTAATAGTACTAAATCTGTTCACATTAACTTCACAAATCGGAAAATTCAAAATAAGCCTGTTTATTTGAATGGTTGTGTAATCCCATGCAAAAATACTGCTAAATATCTTGGCATGACGCTAGATGTGAAATTGCGTTGGAAAGAACATGTCAAAATAAAAAGAGAAGAGCTTGATATTAAATGGAAGAAACTGTATTGGCTTATGGGAAAGAAATCCCAACTCTCACTAGAAAACAAACTTTTATTATATAAACAGATCCTTAGACCCGTTTGGAGTTATGGCATACAGATTTGGGGCTGCACAAATAAAACTAACCGTATGGTTATTCAACGTTTTCAAAATAAGGTATTGAGGTGTATTGTTAAAGCGCCTTGGTATATACGTAACTCTGATCTGCATCGGGACCTCGACATTGAATATGTAGCGGACGTCATCACTAAGTTTGCAAATTCTCATGCCTACAGACTTAGGCATCACGTAAATGCAGAGGCTATGTGTCTCTCTTATCCTATGCAATCAGATAGAAGATTAAAAAGAACTCTACCCAACGATCTAGTTGGTAATTAGCTTAAGCATCTTTACTTTAAATTCAATTTTATATTTGATAAACTAAAATTGCTTGTTAGTTTCATTGTAATAAACTAGTTGCAGTATTATATTAAAATAAAAAAAAAAAAAAAAAAAAAAATATATTTGACACCACATGAGCTCTTAACCGAATTTCAAACGGCAAATTATTTATGTCAGAAGTATCATTTTCTGACTCATGCCATAAATTACTAAAATGCAATGGTTAGCTCATTTAAATCAGAACATAAGTGTAAAGAAGAATATGAATGCAATAGTCATCAAAGGCGGCTTTAACATTGAGTAAGGTCAACTATAGATATACCATTACACCAAAACTGCTGTCTCTAAAGCCATTCAGAATAAGGGAGTTGTGTTTTTGGGAATAGCGTGGGAATAGGGAGTTTTGTTCCCTCGGAGTATTCAGAATTGCTATGTTAATGTTTTCTTACCATAAGACCTATGTACAAATACAAAAGGAAATAAAAACAAAAATATATATGATTTGATATATGATTGCAATATTCGTTGAAATTTCCAATGAAAGTTCACAATAGTTCGCTTATTGCGTTGGTAGGACTTCGTTTTAACTGACTGAAATGTGTGACCAGTATACAACTACTGGCATAGATAGAGAAAATAGTGTTGTTGTTTTGCGTACATTTCGGCCAGTATAGGCCAGTAACTTGCTGTCTTTTCCATACTTGCAAGCCACCGAAAGACCTAATATTAACATTATTTGCGACACCCTAGCAACAATTTAACTGAAGCACTATTAACAGCACATAATGCAACTTTTAATATTTTATCGACGCTCCAGTTAAGTTGTTGTCCCAGCTTAACATTGAATTTTTTTCATTCAGTCTTTCAAAAATATACTCGCAACTTACGAAAGAAAGCGTGTGAAGTAACAACAATGCTTTTAAAATCTTAAAACAATAAGAAAAAAATTGTCATCATTGTCCTTCTATTATTCATATTGTTTTCTTTTATTTAAATTAATTAATTTTTAGTGTTTCCAATATTTTTATTTCATATTACACACAACACAAAATAACACATATATAAAAAAAAACAGTTCACATCTTTTAAAAGTGATGCCAATTTTTTAACCAGATTTAATGGCGTTTTTTTAGAACTCTGAAAAAATGTGGCTATAAATTTTTAAAATAAATTATTTCACATTTGCTAAGTTGCTTAAAAATATAAATTGAATGACACAATTTAGCAATGTGAAATAATTTATTTATTTCCAAAATTAATACTTAATTGCTACCTTAAGACAGTTCATTCATTTAGAATTAATCCTGTATTTGGTCACTAATTGCTTTATATCTGTAATCAAAAGCTTTATTGTCAGACTAGGTGATCTCCATAAAATGTATTGTGACTTTGTGGGAGCGTGCCATTAGCTTAAGAAATTTCTGATTACCTTATTATAACCGTACCTTGTTATTTAAGTTCGAACAACGCTGTTGACGAGCGCGGTTTAAGGCGCTTTTACCAGCAAACGATTCGCCTTATTGAAGTAAGTTCTTCAACGTACAGATCAGATCAGCCAGTATTTTTTGTAGTTTTTGGATTTATCATTTTTTATTTCTTATAATAAATAATTCAATACTATTTAATTATATTTTTCAATTATTAATATTGAATTATTTCGTTAAGTCCTGGCAATTATCCTGTGTATTTGCAAGCTGTTCTTACTGTAAATTTAGTTGTTGCTGTTTTTTGTCTTTAAACGGGAAGTCATTGATTTTAGCTGTCTTGCTTCGTCTTTAATTAAAATTTTGTTAACTTTTTTTGATAAACCTTATTCGCGTTAACATAATATTTTTTTTAATATTTCTTTTATTTAACATAAAGTGTAGTTTTCAAATTGTATTTTATTTTTAATAAATAATTAGTAATTTTAAAACGTGCGTTGAAAATGATCAACGTACGTTAATAACAACATATGGTAATGTATACCAATTAACAATTAACAAAGTAAATATTAATAAAATTTTATGATTCCTAAAATACTAAAAAAAATATTCATCAAGATTAAGTACAGCCGAATAAACTGGAACCAGCAATTATTATCAAACTAGCAAAGGCAAAATAAGTTTGTGCTAGACTATTATTAATAATTCTAAATAATGGGGTTATATAAATTCAATTGATATTCTATAAACTTAACTTCTTTGTGACAAAATTTAAAAAAATATAATAATAGTTAGAGTTTTTTAAAAGTGTACATTCATTTTATTAAAGTTTAAATACAAATGTTAGTGAAACAAGCATATGTGTATTTCTAAACTTTGACCAGAATACTTGATTTATGTAATCAATCGTGGAGCATGCAAACCATGAACATTTTCAATAGGCGGGCAATGAGTAGCTCCAAAGGGTCCCCAATCATGAAGACCACGCGAATTAGCTAGGCGATGTGTTAAGCGATGAGCAATGCTAAACCCGCCACTTCCTTCTAATTGTGTTAGTACAATTATAACTTGCCTACATAAAATAAAAATATAACTACCATTTGAAAATGCTAAGTTTAAAATTTTTACCTTTGTAATGGAGGAACTGAATCAACAGTCTTTAGTTCTCCTCTTGTAGAAACTACATTGTAACTTTCATGGCAGTCACATTTCACGTGAATCCATTTATTTTCATGACGATTTTCCACCATCACTACCAGTCCAGCCCACCCCTTAAAACATTTTATTATATATATGAAAGTTTTTATTATAAGGCTTAATTTTTACATACTTTTGTAAGGTAGTAAGCAGTCATTCCTTCTCTTCCTTCATGTCGCTGTCCTTTAGTAAGCGTTAAGTTTATAATAGCATCAGCCAGTATATGTAAGGGCGGATGAATTTGCTCTACCAAAAGACGTTTAGAACTATGAATTGCTAATATACACTGTGGATACTGTAGTGGGTCTTCAATTCCGGTATGCCAATGGTTGAATGCAAGACAGACTAATAGATACATGTCACGCTCAAGCATTTTATGACAACCAACAAAACCGCGAACCTTAAGAAAAAAACAATATTTACAGCTTTTATATAAATTATATTTAACTATATAAATGTTTAATAATGAGTACTTCTTATTTATTATTTCTTATTACCCCAACTCTTTTTTTACACGGTTTCTTTTTACACGGATTTGAAGTTTCACGGTTAAAAAAAAATTTTTTTTGTAAAAAATTTTTAATCTAGTACGGTCTCAAAATCACTGTCTTGTTTGACACTTGGTATTTTTTTTTACACGGATTTCTGAGAAACGTATCTACCGTGTAAAAAAAGAGTTGGGTGTATTATTATTTATTCTTCTAACTCATAATTCATAGCTTTTAAATATCTTGCTTATAATTATATTGAGAATCGCGCTAGCCGATGAGTGATCTTATTGAAGCCAGTAAGTAATTTTTTAAATATCTTATGCCGTTTAATCTGAATTTATTATAAAAAAAATCTGTTGAATGGTTCGATACTGGCAAAAAAGGAGTCGTAAATTTATTTCCCGAACAAACTGTCGTTTAACTAGAGTAAACAGTTAAGATAATATAATTTAATTTATTTAAATTAAATTGTTTATTTCTTCTTCTTTTTTTTGCAATTCAGTTTCGAATATTGGTGATCATATAACATAAAATTATGTACATTGTTTAAATTAACTTTAGATAAATATAATTACAATTTTTTTACGATTTCTGCATATTGTTTTCTGCATCTAACTATATTTATTAGGTTGCCGAACTCTTGTATTCGAGTCCATTGACGTATGTTATTATTATTATTATTTTATTATTATTATTATTCTGTTATTATTATTATTATGTTATTATTATTATTATGTAATTATGTTGGGCACAAGTAGAGGAGAAATGGATATCTCGGGACGGACGAAACTCGACAACTGAACTTTACAGTTTATGATACTAGAACAATTTTTAAACCATTTAGCGTTCCGACGCGGACCTTGCTAATAATTTTATAATAAAGTTATAAATATTACTTTATTTTTTATTTTTGAAGTCTTATCTGTATATTTGTCTTTAATTTTCAAAGCGCCTAAAATTAAATTTTGTTTTCTTTTTATTTAGTAAATTTGTAATTATATTTTTTGTGGTTATAACCGCATTTTTTTTTTGACATTTAATGACTTTTTCATTTTATAAATATACGTTTGTACGAATATCAATTAAGTCCATTTTAGTTTTTAAGAAAATGTACAAAATAATTTGTCCTTGAAGCACTTAATAAAAAATAAAATAAAAATTAATTAAACAAATATCAGGGATAAGCTGTCACAAAAACAAAATATACGATTTCATATAACATATAGGTCGTGTGCGAGTTAGGCTAAGTTGCGTTCTAAATGAGGGAAATTCTAAGTTGTGTCGATAATGTATTGATGTGTCGATACGTGTTGATAAATGGCAAAATGTGTGAAGTGCAAAAAATCCCAAAAAATCTCCCATTTGGTTTAGCATCAACTTAGCCTAACTCGCACACGTCCATAGTAGATATACTGCACGAAGAAGATAATTCCAATTATTATTTCCATAAAATAAAAAACAGAGTTAAAAAGGAGAAACTTAAAAATAATTTTTCCCCAAAAATTACAAAAATAATAAAACTATGCAAAATATGATACATGAAATATATTATTAGTGTATTTTTAATAAATATTATGCTCTGAAGAAGTTTTTATAACCTATAATAGTATATAAATACAGTTATTATTGTGTTACTTCTCATATTCGGATATTTCATATTCCAGCTTTATTTTATCAGTATTATTAAAACAAATCACCGCAATAAAATTTTATACATCCCCTAATATTACATATACATTAATAAATGCATACACAATATCTTTATTTAAAAACACAAACAAAGTACATGCAATACAAGTGCAAATTTTTTCATCTTCTTATGCAAACAAAACAACAATAGGCGTTTCCGGTGGTTCGCAAGTATGGCAAAAAACAGCAAGTTACTGGTCTATACTGGCCGAAATGTACGCAAAACAACAACACTATTTTCTCTATCTATGCCAGTATTTGTATACTGGTCACACATTTCGGCCAGTTAAAACGAAGTGTTATCAACGCAATAACCGAACTATTGTGAACCTTCATTGGAAATTTCAACGAATATTGCAATCATATATCAATAATCATATATAAACAAGAATTCAAACAAAATTCAAAAATTTTATAAATTTAAATATTGAGAAAAAAAAATATCAGTGTTTTATTTTGCATTTTCAACATTTTTCCCATTCCTTTTAATTCTGTATTCATTTTGATTTTCAATTTATATTAATTATTTATTTTTATGCAAAATGTAATTTGCTTGCATTAACATATGTGCACATATATAAGATTTGTTATTTGCCACAACATAACACTTGTCAGATTGCAATAGTGATGTTAATGTCTCGCTTAGCGAATATAGGCCAGCATGCATTTTTTTTGCCACACTTGCGAGACACCGAAAACGCTTAACAGTGTACATTAAAAACATTCCCAAATCGGCTGACGCTAAAGAAGTATTGGGTATTTCTTTAGTTGCATGAGAACTTAAAATGAGAATACAAGACAGAAATAGTGATGGAATAAAATTTTATTATTATAATCTGGCAGATAATTTTATGGCATTTATATTTTGAATTTTGAATTTCTGGCATATGTCCACGGCGGCTACAATTCACATGGTCCATTCGATCAATCAAATTTTAAACTTTTTTTTGGAATAAATGTCGCCGTATGGCGATATTGTGGCATAATATTAGCTTCCAATGCTTCAAGAGTTACTGGTTTGTTGACAAACCAGTAACTTTTCGCACGAACGAAGGGCCAATTAACAGGAACAGTCCTTAAAATAAAGTTGCTACCAAATTGATTTCGCAATAAACCGATTTCTAATTGCGCTGTATAACGAGCTGTGCCGTCTTGTTGGAACCAAATATCCAGTCCAGTACGAACTGAGCCAAAAAACCACAAATCGCGTAAATATTTGAGCGACTGGAGAAAAAAATGTTACCAATGCATTAAACGATCTATTGTGAATTTTCATTTAAAATTTGAACGAATACTTCAGGCACCTGTTCAAAGTTGTTCATAAACAGAAGCTCAAATAAAATTATAACGTTTTAAAAATTTGAAAATAGTGGAAAACAAGCATTTTAAAACTATACAAAATTATTGAAAATTAATGAATAAATTGTAAGTACTTTGAATTTTTAACTTGTCAGTTTTTAACAAGTTTTTGCTTATTAAGAAATTACATTGTTGTGAAAAAAATAATTATATTGAAAAGGAGATTTTAAATAAAATTATGAAATCGATAATGTTAACTGATATGATAAATGTAATTTCATTTTATTTGTAGTTTATATGCTTATTAAGCGTAAACTTAATTTTTGAAGAGTTATTCTAAAATATTCGTAGCAATTCTGAATACTCCCAGGGAACAAAACTCCCTATTCCCACGCTGTTCCCAGAAACACAACTCCCTTATTCTGAATTGCTTAAGAGACAGCAGTTTTGGGAATAACAAATATTTCAAAATTGTTCTGTTGAACTTTTGCAACCATGGCAGTTTTTAATGACGAAAAATGATCAGAAATAAATATAATGAATATTTTATAAGTAAATAATAGAAAATTTTTATTTCATTTATTTATTTTATTATTAAAAAATATATATAATTTATTATTTTCTTATAAACAATAAAATAAAGTAAAATATCTTATTTATTAATTGGAATTATTAATGTTTTAACTAAAATTTAAGTTTGTCTCCAAAAGTCATATCTATATCTATAATTAGGATAGAAATATCCTTCAATTAATAAACTAATAACAGAACTATTATTGCAGATGTTACAATAAAAAAGAAGCAATGTTTTACCTACGCATAATTGCAAAAGTTTATTTTAACTTATTCTAGGAATCCCATTCATTTCAGAATTTAGGTTTCTTTCATTATCTATTGTTTGAAATAACAATAGTTAATGCTTCAATTTGTGGAAAAAAAAACATAAAAAATTATGTAGATAAAATAAATAAATAAAAATTTAAATATATTAAATTTGTAATAAAACTTTTATTAAAATAATAATATTAATAAAATATATTAAATAAAAATTTAGTTATATTAAACTTATAGTAATTTTATTAAAACAAATTCTTAAAACTAATCAACCGCTGTGAATAAAATAAATAAATAAAAATTAGAAAATATTAAACTTATTATAATAATAATTTTATTATAATATTTTCGAAAATCTGATCATTTTCAGTTACTTTCATATTAAATTAAACTATTTTTAATACTTTTTTAACTTGTCTCCCAAATAATTTGGTTGGGAAAAAATTTGTGCAAAATTGGAAAAAAAAACTCCCATTCCCATGCGATTCAGAATAGCAAACTTGGGAATAGGGAACAAACTCCCATTCCCATGCGATTCAGAATAGGGCTGATTCCTTTATAGAAATAAACGCAGACAATGGAGTACAAAGGAAACGGAAATCCGTTACACAACTTTCGTCCATCGGTCGTTGTATTTTACTCCTAACATTGAAAGTATCTACGAAAAATCACTTCTTTCAGTATTTCCTTTAAAAATTTCTTTATTTTAACCAAAGAAACGATAATAAAGTTCTAATATAAAAAATTAACAGTTAGTCTTTAAAAAAATATTAAACACAATTTTATGCAAAAGCAATACTACCAGATTCACCACATCTTAGTCCCATAGAACATCTGTGGGTTTATTTGGAAAATAAGATTCGCCAGCACACGAAAATTGTTCGACTTTTTGTATAGACGCCAAACAAAAACTAATCGTACGATATGCGTTAAACTTTGACAGAATTTGTATAATAGTGTTGCCAGCGTGAAAATAAAAAAAATTTGCCGATTGGATAAGCGCGAGAATTCAAAAATAGGCTTCTCGTTATTTTTTGATCAGAAGGTATTTGCTCTTTGTGAAAATAATATTTGACAGATTGCGAGAGGAAGGCAATATGTTAGCAAGAGAATTTAAGTAAGCGAATTGTTGTTTTTTGCCGCACTTCAGTGCGGCCGAATGTACCTTATATAAAGACTTATAGACTCATGATTTTTTTTACTGAATTTTCAGTTTTTTTAAATATATTTATAGCGATAACAAAAATGCTGGCAATTTTTTTCTACAAATTTTACTTAAATATTTGTAGTAAACTACTGCTAAAAAGCACAATATGGTTACTGTAAAGCAACGATGCATTAGTGAATTGGTCTTTAAAGTAACCATGACTAGGTACTTATTCAATTTTACTTTCTTACGGCCACTTCAACTTTTTAGATAATTATTATTAGTGTTTATATGGAACTTCAAATTAATTCGCGCATATGGATACCTTTTTTTTTAAACACTGAACTGTGTTTAATTATTGTTTAATGTCTATATATGTTAGATGTCACTTATATACACATTCAGTGAACTTTTGCATAATCATTTATTTTGCTGTCATTATTAACCGGCATAATGGTGCGATAAAAGCTGACTTATATAAGGTCAAATAATTATTCAACAGTTCATGCACATACAAACATGTTGCTTATTAAGTGGCGTGAATGTGTACACTACAAACGATATGTGAAGAGGCTATAATTATTAAATAAGCTAAAAAATTTGATATATAATTAGCGATTTTTGAACACGTTATCTACTCTTATGTAAGGTCAAAATATTCTTAGAATATAAAACGTATAAAAAAACTTGCCTGACGTTTGCTATGTTCGACTAATTTTCCTATTTCCGGCGATACTGGAGAGCGGGTTCGAAATATTACAACACATAAATCCAGCTGAGATCTTTGCGATTTTTCTGAATTTCTTTGGCCTTCTTGAAATAAAGTAAATTCAGCTTCAGTAGGTTCCAAAACCGTAAGTAAGACACATGAGATTGAACATAGTGGTTGTAGAGTGCCCTTTTTATATAAATTTGACGATGACAAAAATTATTAAATCTTTATATTTATAAATACCTGCAACCGTATTTCATTCCAACCTTTACGCACTTTACATATATCAATGCAATCAAAATAGTTTAAAACATCTTCAAATGATATCCAAAATACACCTTCAGATGCTCCATGGGGCATTAAAATTTCTCGTAACTCATTCGTCCAGAGATCAGAATCGTCCGACCAGTCTCCTCGCCATGAGAAATGACCCCATGGGTTACGAAGCTTTAATAGTCTATGTCCATGAATATCTTTTACATCTAATACAGAGTAGGCGTGTCGTGGTCGTAGGCCTTTATTTTGATATTCGTCTTCATCGACTTTCATATTCCCACCACCACAACTAGCTCCCATTAAAAAGCGTACACAACGTGAACTTAATAACTGTGCCCAAATTAGGTCCTTATCGAGCTCATCCTCACTAGGCATTGGTAATGAACTGGCTTGTAACGGAATACTCTCACATGGTGCTCCTGTAAGTGTAGCTAATCCTTCAATAGCACGCCCAGATACTAGAGCTTCATAACACCCATGAATTTTTGCCACAGCCTTTTCTATTAAAGGTACCCAAAGTTGTTTACGTTTTGCTTGTGAATACACCAAGTGCCCACGTTTATCACAAGGTAATAGATCATCTACTAATACTGTTGTCCATTTGCCGTCTTTGCACAAACGAACTTGATAAGCTCCTTGAGGGCAAATTTCTTTTGTTACTAAAACTTCTTTAACAAGATCCTCTCGTTCTGCTAGCACAGCTAATGCGCTTAATAACCAACAATTTCCAAGCACACCTTGACAAATATCTGAAGGAAGTGGGGTTCGAAATACCACCCATGGTGGAAACGGTCCACCATCGCAATTAATTTCACTTGGACGTCGCCATAAAACGACTGGATTGCCTTCAGACATATTACTTGTTGGATTATAATATAAACTTTTAGGCGCCGGTGGAAATGAATCATCAACAAATAATTCATTGTTATCGCTACAATATTGAATAATATTTTTCCATTTATTAAGAGCTTCAGTTTCTTCTATATGCCGTAAGTTTTCCATTAATTTACTTTCTTGCACAATGTCTAAACAAATTTGATTGGTTTTTTGTAAAAGATTTTCAGACTGATTAGACACTAAACCACGTGGACTAGAACAAATATCACAAACAACTGAAGCAGAACAATTTTCAAAGGTACAAGCAGGACATTGCCATCTTTTTACAGCATATTTGTTGGTGATGTTCGGTTCGTTATTAACATTACTTGATTGAGCAGAAAAAGATCTTGCACTAGAATTTATTTCGCGATCAACAACTGTAGTAGAACTACTATGTCTCTTTGGAACAGCACCGCTAGAAGATCGACATTGCCTAGGTGAAGGACTACGAGAAGCTTTTTTTGGTGGTATTTGTAAATTAGTGTATTTGGCAGTATGCTGGGTAGAATTGGACATTTCAGCAACTTCAAAAGAACTCTGAGCTAAAACAAAATTTAACTACAATTACATTACAAGTTACAAAAAGAATACCTTCAAAAGTGTTATCTGTTGATTGTTCTTTTTCATTTTCTATTGATAACATGCGAATAGCTTTACAAGCAACACATTCTCCTAAAGAAATAGAGTTTTTTAAAGTACAATGACTACAACTCCAGAACTCTCCCTTTCGCAACGTCATATCTTTAATTGAAGATATGCTTTTAAGTTTAGATCCACCACAAACAATACATGCTATTTCTGTATCGGAATTCACTAAAGTGCATTTCTTACATGTCCAAAAATTATCAACAATTTCGTTTTCTATAAAAAAACAAAAAAATATATTAAATTTGCGATGTAAAAAATCTTATATTTCTTAAATTATAAATTCTTAAATTTTATTACCGTAAGATTTTGTTGTGCTTAAAGTTTTTGTTAGCGTTATCAAACTTGGCTGAGTTAATGAAGGTGTATTTCGATTGGACTCACATATTTCACAATGTTCAATCCATATACGATTATACGCATAGGAACATTTTGTACATGTCCACATTCTACGGGAATTTGATGTAGAATTATTGTCAGTACGAGAGTTATCTCTGCTAAATCTGAAATATATGAAATATATATAATAGAAATATATCAAGCCTAAATATGTAAAAACAAAAAAAAAAGCAAAACCGAAATATGATTATTTAAGATTACTTAACTACATAAAAGAAAAATTCAACTTAAACAATTTACAAAATAAAATTATTGAAATGATTAAAAATAATTGCATATGCTTTCATACATTTTTGATTCACTTGTTTTTTTTGGACCTTTCCATACTTTAGCATAGATAAAATGTTCATCATTAATTTCATCTGTAGCATTTGTGCCCAATGGAATGAAAGAATTCACAGTTTCCAATTTGCCCGCATCTGATTTACATAAATCGATTGTTGAATATAAACTATTTACATTAGTCTTTGATGGAATAGCTTCGCTCATATTATCAGTTTTTTTAAATTCTGCACTAAATTTTAATTTATGCGAATCACAGTCAATGTTGTTGTTAGAGAAACAAATTAATGACTTCTGTTCTTCATTCGGAACATTTAAGACTTCATTTGATTTGTTTTTTAATTTATCCTTTTTATTCACGATTGCATAAATGGGCTGGTCATTTGTTTCATCTATCCACTGATTATTTGATGCAATCGGATTAACTGCTTTTACTCTTGATTTTTTTTTACCAACTAAATCATTTTCATATATATGATCTTCATGCGAAGAAATTTCTCTTGATTTATTTAACGTCGTCAACTCCGCTGTAACGTTTAGATTATCTATAGATTCTTCTGTTGGAATCGGAGGATTAATTTTATCACGATGCTGTTGATTAAAATTTTGACTATTTTTTAAATTCTGAACAGAACCAGGGTTATGAATATTTAATTCATTTGCCCAATCATTCTCTGCAATGCATACATTGTTGGGTGATTCATTTAAGTTCCGAGAATTGGATTCAGTTTTTGATGCTTGTGATAACGTTGTTGTTAATGTAAAATTGCATTCCGTTTCGTTTTTTTTTCTTTGTAACAAGTTTATGGAATCTTTACTTTTTGTGTTTTTTTCATCGCCATCTTTACTATCAGGATCTCTGCACTTTAGCGAACTTTTGACATCTCCTAGCAAATACATATTACTATGAAAAAATTGTCGTACAATTTATTTACTATATTAAAAGAACTTTAAAACAGTTTCATATTGTAAATGGAATAAAGTTATAAAAAGTATAAACAGTAAATATTTAATTCATTATTTTAGATATATGTTTCATTTAATGAAATTTAAATGTATTTCTTTTAAAAGTAATACGTGTTAACTATTTCAAAACACTCGTTGGGAAATATTAAAAAAATTTAACTTTTTCTTCAATGGATACAAAAAAGTATGTCATAGTTTGGAAAAAATTTTTAAAAAAACTTTTCTCTTGGATTCAATCTAGATTTACTCCCGATTTGTCAAATTTTGTTGGCCAATCGAACATTTATAGAGTAATTTAACATGTTTTGTAGTAACATCTATTAGTAAATAATCAGAATTGATAAAACTCTTAATTTAAATAACACAAATAAGTGGTACGTTGACTTTGATTGTAAACAGACGAGTCCACGACTCAAAGTTATAATTTAAAGCATCCATTAATTGAAAAATATTAATTTCATATCACAAAAATTAGATAAACCTTGTTAAATATAAAAACATAGAAAAACATAGAATGTAACTTGCAGCAAATTCAGAATTGCAACTTCAAAATGACCTAACACGCGAAACATCGATGCTAACCAGTAACTAATTAACTATAGTAAAGTAATTGTAATTGATTTAAAAAATATACACATTTCAGTTTAATTAAATATTAAAGAAAACCTATATATAGTATACCCTGGAGAGATTCAATAAATAAATAATTCTAAATAAATAATTCTATTGAATTCTACTTTCGGTTGAATTTTAACTTATTGTTTTTCTATATACAGTGAAACTCGAACTCCTATGTACAAACTTTGAATTTTCAACAACTCTTCTTATATTTTGTTCTCCATAAGTCGAATTTTTGGTTTGCCTTTATATTTTCACATACTTTTGTCAGTTACTTTTCTAACTTGCACGACATTATTGGATCCTGACTTTCGACGACACTTAGAGGGCTAACAACTGCTATTATTATTGTAAATTTCGATGATGGATGATGGAGTTGTGCTTATTGGCAATGAGCAGTAGCCTTTCAATCACAAACATGGGTAAAAGAAATTTGACACGATTTGACAATCACCGAAAAAATTGATTTAATTGTTGAAGTAGATAAATGTGATAAAAAGAAAAAAGATATAGGAGAAAAATATGAAATTCCTTAAACTTGGAGAGTTCTCTTATAATAAACGTAAACGGGTTATAATATATAAATATGATGACGTGGAAGAAGCTATGTTGCAGTGAATAATTAGTGGAATAGCAAAAAGTCTACATCTGTCGGGTAGTATTATTAGAGAAGAGGTAAAGAAGTTTGCAGACACAATAAAAGCTGTTTGCCGCAAATAAAGACCCGATCAAGACAATTTGAACATTTATTTATTCCAAAGCAAAATAATATTAATTAAATATTAATATTAATTAAATATTAATATTAATATTAATTAAATATTAATATTAATATTAATTAAATATTAATATTAATATTAATTAAATATTAATATTAATATTAATATTAATATTAATATTAATTAAATATTAATATTAATATTAATTAAATATTAATATTGTTACGAATTTGATCAGTGTAGCAATGAAATGTTTAAATATTATTTAAACATTATGTCAATTGATATTTTTAAAAAAAATAAGTAGTTGGAATTTGTTTTGAGTGAAGCTGGTTTTACTAAATTTGCTGCTAGCAAATACTAGTTATTTTTAATACAACAAATATAATAAGTATAGTTTCTCCAATTTTAAAAGTTCGTTTCATTTTTACAAAATCCTGTGATTCGAATGAACACGCAGGCGATTACGTAACAATATTAATATTGATTAAATATTAATATTAATATTAATGAATAAAGTATTCGTGTTGCTGTAAAGCTAGACTTTCTTTGTATGGTGACAAAGAAGCTTTATTAAAATTTAGAGGGATTTTGAATAGCAAAGAAAGAAATAAAGGACAAACACAAAAATTTATTTTAATTTTATTGAAGTTTGGTTGACCATACAATGCTGTTTCGAGTATTGCCAAGTACTCTTCATCAGTGGTCTTTGGAATAATCGAATTTTTATTTAATTTGTTTATAGTCCGTATATAATTTGTTTGGACTGCAAGTACCAGGCTTAGAACTCGTGCCTGTCAAATTAGAAGGCTAATCCTCAAATTTAGCTGATAAAGCTGATAAAGATATAAAGCTGATAAAGACAGCAAATAAAGCTTAAAATAAAAAGTGTTGGCAACAGACACAAAAACTAAATAAATTGCAACTCACGAAGTCGTGTTATTGTGCAATAAAAAAATGTTCAAGTATCTTTACAAAAACAAAAAAAAACAATAAATAAATTTATTTATTTATAAATTTAAAATTTTAATTAAACTTCTTTAAGACAAAGAATCGAATCAAGCTGTAGTCAGCAGAAACGCTACCTCTGTTAACGACACTTGGACAGCAGTTAATAATCGTAAACGTCAACGCGATAGTCCAAGTAAAAATCAAACAAAGCTAGACTCATACTGGCTAAATGGACCTGTCAAACCAAACCGATACAGGTAGATGACTCTGAAGAAACTAAAGAATTGTTAAAAAATAATGATACTTCTTCAAACATACTGAAACCTCCACCTATATTTATTAATTAGATATATTGCATCAAACCTTTAATCAATGTATTAAATGAACATGCGCCAAATCAATTCAACTTAAAAATACTATATCCAAGACAAGTAAGAGTTCAACCTTCTACATCAGACTCTTACGTAAGGATTGTAAAACAGTTAGAGTTCAACACACAAAAGGATAGTGTCACCGCAAACCCAAGTGTATCAAGTGCGCTGGAAATTATGCTTCTTTTAATTCTAAAAGGAAATGCAGATCCAATGATGTCAAATGTGTTTTATATGGGGGAAATCATTCTGCCAACTACAAAGAATGTCAAATCTACAAAAACCGGAAGAAAAAAAATGAATCCCCAATTAAAGTTTAGGGTACCAGAACTGCAAATTCAAAAAAATCCGAATTCTCATTTATCACAAACATTCACACAAATAGTGAAGTCAGACACAAGTAGCGCAACAGAGGTGAAGCCAATTTCAAATAATTTTAGGGAAGAATTCCGAGAGATGACAACGCTGTTAAAGCAAATGATGTAATAAATCGTAATAAAGGCCAATTTAGTGATCAACTTGACTACTAAACAAAATTCTTAATTTAGTCGTATACATATGGAGCGCAAATGGATAAAAACAATCTTAAAAATAAACCAGGTCGACATAATAATAAATAACCCTAACGAAGTTTGTCACACATCCTAATGATGGTTCTGCGGTCGATAAAACATAAAATAAAACCATATTGCAGGAATGAAATTCAGACAACAAACATTGTTGTACAAACTAAAGAAGGCGACATGACTTTCTCATCATTCTAGAGCCCACCGCGTCACAGTATCTCGAAGGATATATGTATATTATTTTTTTAGTTGTTTGGATCTAGGTTTCTAGTAGGCGGAGATTTTAATGTCAAACACTTATGATAAAATGGAAGAAGAAAAATAGAAGATAGAATGGATAGAAGATGGATAGAAGAAAAATACCTGACTTAATTGATTTTGCGGTATCAAAGGGGGTATGTATCGAGACAACTACCTGTAAGTTCAATTTCGAATTGTCATCTGACCATTCGCCAATAATAATCACCCTCAATGACTGCTGTGAAATTATGGGAAAATGTATTCTTCATAACAAAAAATACTGGCTGGAACAGTTACCATCAACTAATTACAATTGGTCTAAATACCGAAATCAGATTAAAAACTGAATCTGATGTAACTGAAGCAGTATAGCATTTTAACTCTTCTGCCAAATGTCTGCATGGAAATCAACTCCACCTTTTTTTAAAAGTGTTAAGCAAGATTATCCATTTAACATTAGATACTTGATCAAAACTCGCTTAAACAAATTATATAAACTCGTTAAATCCTTCTTATAAAGTATAACAATAATCGCACGTCTCTATACCTCCAAAATCTAAGTGTTTCAGGTGATACAAAATACTCCCTTTGGAAAGCCATAAAAAAGAGGAACAGACCGATTGATTAGCAACCACCTATATGCAAAATCGACAACTCATGGGCTAAAAGCGATATTGAAAAAGCAGAAATATTCGCGTTATATTTGGACCAGGTCTTTAAACCAAATGATAACCAAAATATGCCTGATATAATGAAACAAAGGATAAAGTTTTTACAAGAGAATTACCAATTAAAACTTCCAATTAAAAAATATTCTATTAACGAAGTTAGGGATGTAATAGCGAAGTTAAAAGTAAAAAAAGCTCCAGGATACGATTTGATCACAGACATGGCCCTGCAGCAGGTACCACCAAATGGATTTGTATTTTTAACTCATTTAATTAACGCTGTGATAATAAGGGGGTTTATTTCGCCACAGTGGAACATAGCGTAAATTTCCATGTTACCGAAACCAGAGAAAAGCCTAGAAAACGTTAAATCATATCGCCCAATAACTCTACTTCCGATCCTGTCAAAAGTTATGGAAATCCTGTTTCTAAAGCGCCTTACACCGATTATTTAACAAAACAAACTCATCCCTGACCATCAATTCGGCTTTCGTCAAAAACATAGCACAATAGAACAAATTCATAGACTTGTCAGACATATCCATAGTACGATAGATGGTAAGAAATATTGCACTGCGGCATTTATAGATATTTTACAAGCTTTTGATCGAGTATGGCATGAGGGCCTTCCCTTCCACTAAATTTTTTCATATTTATTAAATCATACCTCTCGGCAAGGCACTTTTTCATTAAGCATGGAAACAAAACTACAATACTTCATGATATAGGAGCAAGAGTACCTCAAGGTAGCATAATGAGACCAATGCTTTATCTTCTATATACTGCGGATCTTCCCCTTACTGATGAGAGTTATCGGTACATTTGCAGACGACACAGCTATTTTATTAGTTGACAGTGACCCAATCCATGCTTTCACCAAATTACAAACCTGCCTTAACAATGTTGCTCTATGGATGAAAAACTGGCGTATCAAACGGAATGTATCTGTTCAGGTAACATTTACTACAAAACGTTTTACGTGCCGGTTTTAATAAACAATACTCAATTACCACAAGCTGTATAAACAAAATACTTGGGCATACATCTGAATAGTAAACTAACCTGGAAATCACACATATTTAAAAAGCGTAAAGCCTAGGGTCTTAAATTGCGAAACTTATTTTGGTTCCTCAGCCCAAATTCCAATCTATCACTCGACAATAAGCTGCTCATATACAAAACTGTAATAAAATCTACATAGACTTATGGAGTACTACAGCAGACTCAAATCTGGCAATTATCCAGCGTTTTTAATCTAAAACACTATGAATGGTAACAAATGCACATTGGTATATAACGAATAAACAGCTACATAAACAACCACGTGTTCCGACAATTAAGAAAGAAATATCTCGTATTGTAAAGAATTACGCTCATCGCATATATATGCATCCAAACCCGCTGGTTACACACCTGATGTCTCCTCCAACACTTCTACAAGGCTAGAAAGAAAAACATTGAGAGACGTTTTAGATATGTGTATATATATGTAGGTCACATACTTCTATTTTAAGTATATATGGATATGTCACTGGACATAGTCCATGCGTGCCTTTCTTTTTTCAGATCGTAATAACTATTATATTCATATTAATATATATTACTTATTGTTATTCAGACCTGACAGATAAAATAAATTGATTTAAAAAAAAAACTTCAAAATTTTAGCGTCACTTCACTTATAAAATATAGCGTGATCGTTATATGATGCAATATTGCGAAGGATAGCGGAATTAATATGAAACGATTTTTAGTATGCATTTTGTTATTGTTTTATATTTGAATTAAAGCAAAGTACACATTTCCAAATATGCAAAAACAAAAAGCACTTGCCTATTTCTAGCAGGACTTGTTCAAAATTAAAATCAATACCGCATTTGAAATCATGCGTTTATTATTATCATATGAGCATTTATATTCTCTTTGGTTCATATTTCTTTGGTTCTAATGTTGCTCTAAAAATTTGAGTGAGAAATTGAGCATAAAAAGGGTCTACCACTAGACTCGCAGTGTGATCAACGAATTTGTTCCTGATGCACACTCTATGTATTAAATACTCATTGGAATAAGGCGCGTACTACACATCAGATTTGGTTGTACAACTTGTCTGTTGAAATGCAAAATCTGTGCCAAATCTGATATGTAATACCTATATTATAAATAAAATTATTATATATATTATATAATATATAATATAATTATTATATTATATATGAGCGGAGTTTTTAAATTGTTAGTCTTACAAAACTACTGATATTACATAAATTGTAATTAAAAATGCATTTTTAAATGTATTTTTTTTTAGACGCCATAATTTTCAGTAATCAATACAATGAAAATAACCAAGACGCGTAGTACACGGCGTGGCCGTGAATTCTGACAACATCAAACACTAACTTTGACTTGTAACAAAGTTTTTGTTTTGTCACAGACAAATAATATACAGATTGCGAATGCAGAACAAAAATATGGACCCCTTTAATTTTACGGTAGCCAGCTAAAAGCACAATCAGCTTTGAATTGTAGAACAATTAAGACAAACCAAAGCTGTGTATAAAACATTGATCTTAAGTGTTCGAAACACACGAAAGAGCTGTTGAATGTGCATATGAGAAGGTGTGTGATATAGTATAGAAATTGTTGCTATATTTTCTATTCATATTGCTAGTTTGGGTGCTTGTGTGATTTATATGTTGACAATTTTCTGTTTTGCGAACTTATGCTTCCATAGTTTTACTGCATCAAGACGAAAGGGCAATCAGTGAAGTGCAATTTTTTGTTTCCATATTTACAAAATTTGGTTTCTTTTGGGTTAAGAGGAAATAGAGAGGAAAGGGCGTTCAATAGTAGTTAAACACGAAGAAGCGTTGTTTACTGTTGAATGGACACACAAACACACAAATTCAAAGAAATAGTCTTTGCTTTTTGTATACATTTTTTTCTAAAATATATGATTGACTTTGTGTGCATGCAATGCACAACGTTTTCCAAATTATTATAAATTTGATTTCTGATGAAATTTTATACTAGTCTCATATATTTTGATATGAGTTTTGCCTATTATGAGGTGAGTAAACACCGGCAGTAGCCGAACCATAGTTGTTGTTAGTGCAAATGGTATTAATATGTATGGCAGTGAAGATAGTACTATCACCTGTACTAGCCATGATATTATGAAGTATGTTAATAAATACCAAGTTGTTAAATATCTATTTATGTTGTATATTTTAATATGCAATTAATTAAAGCGTTTGAGATTTCAAACGGCCTTTGTCAAACAATGGAATTATGGATATAAAGAACATTATCTTTGCAGAAATATAAAACAAACAAAAAATAACAGCAATACAATAATTCTTTTGGGTTAAGTTTGTGTAGCTTGATGAAATCTGTTCTGTTGTAACCTTATAACTTTTACATTTAGACCTCTAATTTCCCGTCAACAACATTGATAATCTTGTATCTGTAACGACCAGAATTTACGGATTATATCACTACTTTTAAAAAAGTAGTGGTCTATCACACCTACAGACCAAATGCTATGATATGTAAATGCAATGATAATTTGACTGTTACTTTTGAATTTTTACTAAACAAGGTATGGCAATTTTTTTTTAAAAGTCCATCAATCATCTTCCTTCATGATTGAAGAAAATCTAATACGAAAAATGTACACCATTTTTAAAGCAATTTTTCACAATTTTTACTCATATTTTTTGAACTATCCATATTATAAAATGACAAACATTAAACTAACGTAACATATGATCCCTTGGATAGTTGTTTGTTTGACATATCACTAAAGCAAAGCAATGCTATGAAATCAAAACAATGCAATGGACAACTCCTTATATAACGATCATTAAGACGGCATGTGGTGAAGATTATCTAAGTGGTACGACATTAATACCATAAGAAGCGATAGCTATACTTTATTCAACAATTTCAAGAGTGCATTAACAATCCCTTTATATATTTAGTTCAGTCCATTTAATAATAGTAGTTAATAGTAGACAAAATAGTAGTTAATAGTAATAATAGTAGACAAAATAATCCTTTTAAATTATGTACTATAAATTGTTAAAGAAGATAGAAAGATAAAAAAGTATTCAAAACCGATTTTTCACACTGAAATATTCATATGTTAAAGAAACCAATATATTAAAAAATTTTTAATCCTAATTATAATTTATATAAATTATATATAACGCTTACCAAAAATTTTTTTTAAAATAGATCCATTACTTTTTTGCATGAAGTTTTCAGGTATATTAAAAATATCCTTTCGGTTGTTCACAAAACATATATGGCAGCTGCGGCATGAAAAAAACTTTTCTGTGGTAAGACTTTGTGTTCTTCGGAAGCATTTTAGTTGTTTTGAGTGCTTCTTTGAAATCTTATTACTGTCTTGAACATCGTTAGATGATTGCTTTTTATGGGTAATATTATTGGTAGGTAACTTAGAACACTGCTTTCTCGTAATTAGAGTTTCTTTATAAATTGGAGCTAAACCACTGACACTGTCACATATGATACAATGCCATGTAACAGAACTATTATCTGTATCGCATTCCTCGCAAATCCATCGACGGTTTAGTGACGGATTTGAAAAATGATGATATAATTCTATTGAGTTTTTAACATATTTTCGCGCATCTTCACAGTCTACGCAATTACCAGACAGTTTTTGTAATTTTCTTTGTGGTCTTCTTAAACATCCTCTTAATAATGATTTGTATACTTGTTTATACTCTGACCTGAAAATAAATTTTATAAAATATTGTAAGCATATGTATAAAACAAGATTCCTTCGTAATAAAGAATACAAACATACTCGTTGAAGATTGTATATGCCATGAAAGAAATTCACTTTAATATTAAACTTAAAAAATCCTAAAGTTAAGATGATTGATTTGCTAATATCTCAATTAGAGATACGTATAATTCAATATATTCTTTTATACGAGTTAAAAAAATATGTATAAATTTAGATGCGGCCATAATGAAAAAATTAGGTATGAGTCTATTTAAAATTTTACCATATTGTATGTATGGCGTGTTAAAAAATACGCTAACATAATACCGTGGAAATGAATAATTTCTAATTTATTTTTGCTTATGAATTATTATTTGATTTGATTCTGAATTAAATTATCTTAGCTATATGTCAAGGGTAATATTTTTTGCTTATTCATTTTCAGCATTTATATAAATATTAGCAGGTTTACCAAAATGGGAATACCAAACCAATCGGGATGTATCGCCTGAATTTTATTGGAATGTCGGTTGGTATAATGAATATGCGCGTAAACAAGCTATTTTCTCCCCTGAACTTCTCATTATCATTATAATTGATTCAATTAAGTGAAAAAAAATGGTTGATGAACGAATTTCCAAACGCAAATTGTGTGGCGGTAGTTCTGGCAAATCAAGCAAATTTAAGACTTCAGTAGAATAATTTGACATTCTTGTGTTCATCTGCTACCATGTCGATTGATTGACAAAATTTAATTACAAAGTAACACATTTCAATTTTAAAATTGATTTTATTGATATCTTAGTTCTTCGAAACCAGGATCGCACTTCCACAGAACAATGTCCAGATAAATTTGGCATGTATTTGAAAACATACTTCGTATTAATTTATCTTTCGAACTAACAATATTACAAAGGTTTCTGGCAATTTGATGAGTTATATGTCTTCATTAAGACTTGTATTTGCGTTACTAATATTTAGCAAATCGAAAAAACTTCTTCGGGTTAATTGTTTTATACTATACTTAGCCCATAATATATATGCTTTCATGAATGTGGAATAGCTGACAATGCATGTCTAAAGTCACCTGAAAGTAAAATTAGAGTGTCACCAAAACTATCGTTAGCATTGAAATCTTCAAGTGTTCAATTTAATGCTTCAAATGAATGCTTAAGTGGCATTTTTTTATGTTGCATACTGAACTTTTATTTATCTGCAAGTTTAATAACAAATTTAGTCCCAAATTGGCGGTTTTTCTACAATCTAATAATTTAGCAGCGATTCCAGATGATACAAATGCTAAAGCATTTTAGCAGTTGTTATTTCATTTGAACTTTTGCGAGAATGACTAAATGAGCGAGAAGGACTGTCAGCTTCTTTAGCATTATCAACTCTATTTTAAATATGAAAGAATCTTAGTTCTTATAAATAAAAAAAAATTTAACCCCGATATACCAATCTACCGGCCGTTTAGATAATTATTATTTTTGTTAGTAAGTTCAAATACAAATTATATAAAAAAAATTAATGGTTATTAATCTAGCTAATAGCATTGATGAAAAAAGAGTTTAAATGTACTCTATTTATGGCAATACAAATTGCTTATAAAGCGTGGAATAGTGTCAGCAGATCTTGAATTCAAAACTGCTTCTGGGCTTGCGGTTTTAACATAATAAAGATTTAAACGATAATTTATGTCAAGTCGAACAATTTGACATAGATTATCTATTTGACCTTATATGTCAGAACTTTGAAAATGTCGCCCTTTTCGATGATTATGTGAATTTTGTTAATAACGTGGCAATATCTGGTATGTTAACAGATAACGACATTTTCGAAGAAGTTGCCGCTATTAATAATGAGAGCGATAAGGATGACCCCTTCCACCGGTGAAGAAGAACTTATAACGAATCAATAAGCCAAGTCGACCATTCAACAACTACGATATTTTGTTTCAAATTATGCTGTCCAAAAAAAAAATGTTTTTGATTGTTTATTAAGTTTGGAAAAATCAATTGAAGAGATAGCGAAAGAATCTGAAGCAATCAACAACTACAAAGGACTAGCCGGCGCAGCACATTATTTTTTTCTTTGAAAACACTCGGGCAACGGTACGAGAAGTTAACTTCTGTTTAATAAAATTATCATTTTATACTATCAGCAGCTGAGGTTTATTAGTGATATTTTGTGAGAGACAAATGGAAATAAATAAATTTGGGTCTGGCGGTTGGTATTGATTGCCGCGAACTTATAAGACTAAAATTTACTGCGAATATAGTGATATCTTGATACTATATCGATGGAACTGTCGAATAAGGGTTCCAAATCTTGCAGTTGATATTAGTTGCCAGGAAATGGACCCAAGTACTAATTTAATTTCAAATAAGCGGTGGTCGGTTCTTGCTGACATGTTAATTAAGGTACTGTTGGGGTAGTGATTTTTTAAAACGGTGTCGTGTTTGTTTCTTTCCTTTTTTTTTTTAAACCACTGAGAAAATTTCCTCCCTAGCAGACTTGGTACATGGTACAATGACTTTATATATATAAATTTTTTAAAAATCTTTAGTTTGTGAAAAAAAAAATCAAAATTTAAAATAAACGAATTAAAATTAAGTTTAAATTAAAACAAACTTTATAACAAAATGTTAAATTGTGAGTTAAAGATATGATGATAATTTATGAAATACAGTTAACACCTCCCACCTTACTGGTGTTACCATCTTAACACCACTTAAAAATAAATATGCAAAACATGCATATTTGCAGATTTCGTGTATTTGATTTTTATTGGTTTTATTGTTCGTTTGGTGTTTTATTAAGCCTCGTGAGCTCTTCATCGTTGTTGATAAGTTGTTTGGCGAATTTATTAGCGTGACTATTATGACATGCATTTCGTACTGTGGTTCCAAACTTTGAACCATTTAGTGGTTTTAGAAGTCTTAAGGTCTTCGTCATTGTTTATCAATTTATTATTTGGATATTTAGGTGACTCAGCGATTTTGCCATGATTTTCCTACAGTGATTCCAAACTTTCTCCATCACTCTTGGTATATTAAGATCTGTAATACACTGAGGCTATGATTGCATTAACAAGTCTTGCCTTAATTACTCTATTATCTGTAAATGTGATTTCATTATTAATCTATACCATAGCAAATAAAGTTAAAATTTTTGACAGTTCTGTGTAACTCGCTATGGAAAACTGTAAGGAAATTAAAATACCTGGAATACCTCAAATTCCTTAAGAATGGCGAATGATGACAAATTTATATAAAGACAAAGCATCGCTTTTGCACAACGCCTCTCTATGATATATGAGGTGAATAGGCAAAACAATTATAAAGACGTTCACATGATTTTTAAACGTATTGAGTACGTATTTAGTCCTACTGAGAAACAAAAAATTTTATACTAATAGGTGATTAACGAATTATCAGTTGTACAGGTTGTATCAGGTTGTACAGATCTACATGAAACTATTAAATAAGATTTTACAGAAAATATCTTTGATTTGTTGTCAGTTTTATGAACTATTTTCAAAAGATTTTTTATTATCAATTTTGAATTACTTTCGACATGACTGGAAGTAAACTGATTAGTCTATATGAAGCTAATTCAGTAACGGAATTACCTCCAACAATATTATTACCTCCAATTCTCCAACAATATTATTTTAGATACCTTCCATTAAATAAGAAAGATAATGCTTTACTCTTATAATAGTAAAACAATTTTTGAATATTTAATTGAGTCAGATATAGATCGCCAGTTTCAAAAGTTCTGTCAGTATTTTTGGATTTTTATCACATAGTCAGACGAAACTATTTTCTTTCAAATCATTGATTACTCATAATTCACAGCTTTTAATTATAGTTAATTATAGTTTTCTGTGCTTTTTACGGTAGTTAAAGGAATTAATTATTTCAGTTTTGGTATTATGGCACGCTGTTGTAAGAAAAACTGTAATAACTCAATTAGATGTATAGCAAGTGTAACAGCTTTATAGAATATTATTCTATTTATATTTTAAATCTGATTTTAAATTAAATTTTTTGGTATAACATATACCGGGAGATCATTTGCTTTAAAGCAAATTTTATTTTTACTTTACATTTATTTATTATTATTTTTTTTTAAATAATGCTATCAATTGCGTAATAAAATTTATTTTTAATTTTGCAATACTTTTACCGGTTTTGTAATTAAATTTGCTTATGGTTTAGTTTTATCAGCTATTTAAACGGTGTAATAAAATCAATGATGATACAAAATACGAATAATTAACGATTACATTCGTTGACAGATAACTGGAAATTTCGTATGTACTTCTAAAAATCGTCAGAATAGACGAATTTTTAGTGTTGGCAACCATGTGATTTGAGCTTCTTATTAGTTAAGCAATTTCAAAAAGGTTGAACTAAATAAGCCAGCAGTGTTAAAATAAGCAATTGTTCTTTTATGATATGCTTACAAAAGAAAAGACCTTCATTGGTAAAATGTGTAAAAGTAACGAATACAATAAAAAATGTGTAAAAGTAACGAATACAATAAAAAATCTAAATTCGTTACTCTGGCATTTCTTGTATAACGATTACAAAGTAACGGATAATTACATTTTTGGCATTACTACTGACCACATATTTTGGCCATTAAAAAAAAATGTTACCAACGCAATAGGCGAACTATTGTGAACCTTCATTCAATCATATCATATATCATATGTAAAAAAAAATTCAAAAATTTCATAAATTTTAAAATTTCGTTTCATATTAAAACATTTGTTCTAATATTAAGTTACTCGAAGTAAAACGTGAGTAAACTATAAGTAAAGTACAAACTAAGAGCGTAACACAAAAGGTATGTTCTATGTATGCACAGGTGCGTTCCACCAGCAAATTTTCGAGTTAATGAGAGCATCTGAGAGAGCGTAACATCTCATTTTATTTCAAGTAAAATTTGTGAGATGTGTGAATCAGCTGTTTTGGTTTGAATTTAAATTTTTGTATTGTTTATTTGCGCGGCATAAATCTTTTGCACGTTTTAAATATAAAAAACAAAACAATTTCTATAACAAAAAATATTATTACATACAAAAATAAGAAAACGATGAAGAATATGATCCCATTCCAGCGTTGAAAGCATGCTAACAGCATTCATTTCAAAGGATGAATAAATTTATACCCGTTTTATTAAAGTATTGAAATCCAAAGTAAATAAGTTTTAACTTCTAAATAATATCAGTGTGATGCATTTATATTAATGGATACAAATTCTATGATACGAAGCACCCAAATGGTGAAGTTCATAGTGTATGGCGAATTTTCATTAAAAATACTATACAACACTATTAAATAAAACAGTTTTAATAATGCCTTTTCAAACAGAATAGTATTGAAATTTAACAATTAAAAATAAAAATATAATTAATTAATTAATTCAATTCTACACCTGGTTTATGATTTCGTTCTAATATAAACACAGCAAGTAAAATTGTTAATAAAAGCTTTCATAGCAAAAGTAACAAAAACTCTAGAAAAATATGGAAACATAAAAAGTCAAGCACGGCTTTGGATCAGTTGGTTAAGGTGCGCTGATTCTGAGCTTCACATTTGGCAGGACCCGAATTCGATTCCTGGTACTTGCAGTCTCAAAAATAATTATTTACGAATAATTAAATACAAGAATTATTTCCATCACCACTGATGATGAGTATTTGGCAATACTCGAAACAGATGTATGGTCAGCCAAAAATTCAATTAATTAAAATAATATAAAAAAAAAAATAAAAAATTTCTGTTGTAGTTCACTACTGTTCGAAACACAGTTTTATAAAAAATACCTGCAAGCTATTTCCATTTGTATCGAATCTGGACTTATAAAAAGATTATTTCCGCTATTTATTACTTCCGTAGATTTTCAATGTCTACAAATTTCATAATATCAAACATTTCTTGATATACATAGTGTTGATTTTTTAGCTGACGGCAATTTTATTGTGTAAATGGATGAGTCTACGCAGACAATAATTATCAAATTTTTATTCCTTTCGTACCCACGATTTGAACGATTATGTACTTCTGTAAAAGATGAAACATGTTTAATGTTAATTTTGGTAACTTATGCGTCTTTAACTCTACTGATTTTCTTTCTTGAAAAACCAAAAATAAAAATATAATTTGAATTGCAATTCATTGAGATATTACAATCAAGATGAATATCTTCATTAAAGACATTCATTCAAAATAACGGAAAATTTCCTCCTTTTAAAAAACAAAATTTTTGGTATTAAACTAATATGTTAATAATTAAATATAAAGAAATATGGTTACTAAACAAATATTTCATGTTCACATCACATTGTTTTTGTTTACATAACAAAATTTACGCAGCAAAAATTTACTTAAAATATGTCTGTGCAAGTCAATAATGCATTTTTTTATAAAAATTTTATCAAAACACATTTGTGAATAAAAACAAAATGCACAACAAAGTTTTGCAATTAAATATATATTACAATAAAAAAATATGTACACTGTAACGAACCTTCCTGGCCGGGGTTTTACTCGCCGGATTCAAGGTTCAGTCCTACAATAAATTTATTTGATAGGAACAGTGGAATACGGTGGATGGTGACGTTGGTACGGTGATATGGTTTGAAGAAATGTGAATTTCTTCTCTATACAATGGATTTGACGTAGAAATGTTAATTTCGACGCCCCTGACAAAAGGTTTGAAGAAATGTGAATTTCTTCTTTATATGTACAATGGATTTGGCGTAGAAATGTTAATTTCAGCGCCCCTGACAAAAGGTTTGAAGAAATGTGAATTTCTTCTATATACAATGGATTTTGGCGTAGAAATGTTAATTTCGACGCCCCTGACAAAAGGTTTGAAGAAATGTGAATTTCTTCTTCATACAATGGATTTGGTATGGGTGATAATGTTCATGGGTTATTATCACCTTACCGAGTGATTTACTAACGAAAATTTGATTTCGTTATGAACAATAGAGTAATAGAAATTTATATTTCTATTACTATTAACGAAATGTTAATTTCGTTATTAATTATGATTTTTAATAGAAATGTGTATTTCTATTAAAATTAAAAAAAATAAAACAAAATAGAAATCGAGATGTAAATTTCGATTCTTGGTGTTTCAGCACATGTAATATAGAGCGACCTGTTCTTAGCTCGCTGTCTTGCTGAATCCCAGTCTACTGCGTTTGCTTCGCCTTTTATACTTGTGATGTGCGAAGCAAGCAGTATCTTTGTTCTTGTGATTTCAACGGTTCGTTGTTTACAAGTTTCTTTCTATTGTTGTTTGTTTTCTTGTTGTTTATTTTGTTTTTATTATATTTGTGTTGTTTGGTATTATTTGTGTAGTAAAATTTAGTTAGTGTAAATTTTATGTTACAACACCTTGTGAAAAATATAAACACCCAAAAACATGTTATGCACATGAAAAATAGCAACAAACACAAACGAACACAACTGATCTAGAAAAAAAAACATCATGAAGTCTCCAGGACAACAAGTATTTACATAAAGCGGTACATGAAAGATGGATGATGTTAAAAGGGGCATTTCATCAACTAGGAGCTTTCCTACAAATGTTGATATTTAATACGATGTAATACTAAGTGTTGCCAGGTGCAATTTGACATTTCCATTGGAAAGGTTGACATTTTTTAGCATAACGTGTAGAACGTGTTGTCATTGAATTGTGAATTTTTTTATTTACAGAGATTTGAAAAATTCATCTCGGCCAAAAAATGGAATTAACACGTGAACATTTTCGTGCGATCATTTCTCACAACTTTCGACGTGGATTATCACGACTAGAGTGCATTGAAGAACTCTAATCTTTGTATGGCGATGAAGCACCTTCCAATAGCACTGTGAAAAACTGGTCAACGACGAATTTCGTGAAGGTCGTCCAAAAACGGCCGTTGTGCTAGAGAACATTGATACGTGCGTGAACAGATAATGCAAGATCGTCATGTGTCATACCGTGAGAAAGAGGCATCCTTGGGCATTTCTCGCATCAGCATACCGCACATCAAGAAAAAAATGTGTGGTCAACGATTTTCTTCGCCAGAAGATGCTGTTGAAGCGTTCAAAAACCATGTTTTGCAGGTGTCTCAATCGGAGTGGAAAAAGTGCTTCGACAATTGGTTTGACCCAAGCCCATTATAAAAACAAAGGTAGTACTGAAGGTGGCACTGCTGAAGGGTGACAAAATTTTGGACCAAAAACCACACAAAAATTGATTTCTTCGATTACAAAACAAATAGTAGCTATTATTAAATAGAAGAGCTTGGCGACTAAATATTAATTTTTATCGAAAATATTTTTTTTAAATTTGTTTTTTAATTTTTGCGTTAGCTGTGCCAATAATTTTGTTCATCCAAATTTAGTTTTTTTTTTGGTTTTTTAATTTTAAAAAATTAATATAAAAGAATATAAAATGAATTTAAAAGCAAATTTAGCATTTTATCCAAAAAAAATTTTTTTTTGATTAAAAATCGCATCAATAACAGAATAAAAATAATGCTAAAGTTAAATTTGCTTGCTATGCAAAGATTTTGTTCGCCACTGTATTTAAAATCGGGCACATATCTGTCCTATCTGATGTTGAAACATCAAAATATGATATAAATCGTACAGCGATCTTGGTTGCGACATAAATATTTTGACAAACATTTCATTTGTTTTTAACTTTTTTTTTCTCAAATATCAGTTGAATTTATGTAATGTAATTAATTTTAATAAGTATATTTTTAATTTGAAGTGGAAAAAGGTAAAAAGTTTGTAAAAAATCGAGAGTAACAAAGTTTATCACCTGTCAGAGAAGTAAACATCGTTGAAGAATTTCAATTATACCGTCAAATAATTTATTACCAAATATACAAGTCTACAATATAAATTGTGTTCAAAAAGTGCGACTGGACAAAATGCTGCTAGTAAAGATCGGCTTTAGAAGAATCATTTTAGCAAATTGAAAGTGGACTTAATTGAAGATCCTAAAGATGTTACAGTTTAACGTATTAATCATTGAAATGTTCAATAGGAGATAGTCCTTCCCTGAAAATGTTTGTCCTTCCATTGTTCATTTTAGAGTTATGGAAGCAAATTTTGGTAGAAAATTTATACATTATTAACGTAATACCATAGAAAACAAATGTGCTTCACTTAGTTAAAATAGAGATGTATTTTTTTTATGAATTAAAATAAATATTTGATGATTTCTAATTATCATAATGTACAATATCACAAAGAAGTCAGCAAATTCTTAAAAGAGATTGGACTCAATATATAAGTCCAATCTCAGTGTCTTATAAGTTATAAGACACTTATAAAGTCTTAAGTGTTATAGAAAACATGAAGGCCTTTATAAAACGTAAGAATAATGCTTTATTCAGTTAAACTGGGGAAAAAACACTATCGCCGACTTTGAACTTTTTGGAACAAATTTACTTCCGACATTTTGCAATCTTTGTTTGTTGCCCTTCAAATGATCACTCCATTCATAAAATAAAATACACTATCGCAAAATCATTATGTCAACTTTTAGGCGCACATGTGTGTGTACATATATCCAAGTTTGCTCAATTACATTTGCTGTATTATTTGCACCACTAATTTTTTTTAGACATGTAATAAATATTTAATTAATTAAAATTATATAGTTCATAACTTTTTAAAATAAGTATTTAAGTTATAATAAAATTATTGATATTTAGGAACAAAAAATTGCAATTAATTCAATCAATTATTCGAAGGTTCACTGTGTTTTTAACAGAATTTTTTTTGACAATACCTAAATAACATAATCAATAATGTGAGAATGAATTTCTAAAAATAATCGATTGTTGACTACATTTTTTAATAATTCAATAAATTACCTATCTGCTAATAGTGTCTTATCTTGTACAATTATATTTTGCATTGGCATTAAGCTTTCAAGGCCGAAGGAAACTTCGTCTGCAGTATACTCGTTAGGACGTTCTTCACTGCAATTGAAACACCTTATGGATTCTGCTGAATTGACAAAATGGCACTTCGTGCAATTCCACTGCAATACACTAGAGGCATTCCTCATTATTATTGAACTTTTTAATGGATACTATTGAAAACATTACGTTCGACATGCTTGTAATATGACTGTATTAAAATTATTATTTTTATAATTCTTTGATGTTTCTACTTATCTACATCAACAATTCGTCTATGTTCACAAGAAAAACAACACATATGTAATACAACACAAAGGCTGCTTATCGCTCAAGCAGTCGATTAATTATCGGCAACAAAAATAGTTGCATACTGAAAGCGATTAATATTTATTAGACAAGCGGTCATCACAGAAACATATAAATATAACATTCTTTATCAAATAAAAAAAGTGTAATTGTGAGGAAATTCTCAAATTAAAAAATACTTTATAATCAAGTAAATGTTCAGGCTGAACATACAGCTGTTTTAGATTTTTAAAACTCTTAATTTCAATGTTCCCATTGCATTCAAAAAATCAGTTTATCCAATTTAGGTGACTAATGAAATTGATAAATACTGGATTCACACGATTGTACTGGTTGTAATTATAGCTGCACATTTCAAATTATTCTTGATTTAGATAGCAAAACAGGTTCAAATCAAAAAGATTTGTATGAGTATTTTGACAGCTGAAAATAAAATTAAAAAAAATAATATGACTAAGCTACGAAAAACAAGCGCAGCTGCCAAGGCCTTCGGCTCGGATATTATAAATTAAATTTTATTGACTAGATTACAGGCTTTATTACATTTATATATCAAAAATATATTTTTAACAGCAATTAACAGCGAGAACGTTATGGTGTGATGAGAGTAATTGATGAAAATGGAACGTTAATTTCAAATTATAACTGTAAAACTATATATAAATTTGTTTCAAATTTTTTTTTATTATGATTGTTGTATTTAATGTAATTAAAATATTAAATTTAGTATAATATATAGTTTTATTATAATAACTTTCATATTTTAATTGAAAAACTATATTTACATTTGTTTTTATTATGATTGTGTATTTAAAATAATTAAAATTCTAAATATAGTACAGTAGCAGTAGTAGTAGCTTTATTTTTACTTCATTTTAAAGTTATTATATTACATCGAAGTTATATAATAATTATAACACATATAATTATAATAAATATACATAAAGCTTACAGCTATGGCATTTTAGCCGTCTGCCGGAAGTTTAGATTAATCTAATAGCTAATTAACTAATAACTAATTAATCCAATTTTTATAAATATTAAATAGATATTCTTACTTATGAGCTCAATACAACATAAAAATGAAATTAAATTACTTTAACAAAAATAATAGATTTTATATAAGTTAATTTAAAAATCTTCATTAATAATATTTTGCCTATATTTAAATGTAGTTTTAATAAACGCCGTTAACAATCTCCAGTTGGGGCCATTCAGTAACCGTATGGTTTCATCGACATCGAGCGCGGGTTTACCGAAGTACAGCAATCTATTTTCTTTAAAAATTGAGCATTCGCCTACTAAGTGTATAACATCGCCTTTCAATTTAAGGTTGCATATCGTGCACAGCGTGTCTAGACTTTCGTGCGGTACGTAGCACAATCGTAGGAGCTCGCCGCGGGTTTTGAAGATTGTCCTTATTGTTTCTAGGTCATATTGCTCGTGAAAGTAACTATTGACACCTAGATCATAATTCAACTTACTATATGCATCTCTCGATATACTGTTTCTTGCCGTTTCTACAAAATTTCTACGTTCTTCAATACTTAGTTTCGTTATTATATTTTTTTGCCTCATTTTCCAGTTTTCATTAATACTCAAATCATTAGTTATATTTAACTCGGATGCCAGATTTGACCATTTTTCAAAAAATAATGTTTTTTCATTTATTAGGTACTGCGCTAATGTTTTTTGAATCCTATTGTCTGGCAAATTCCTAACACGATTGATGTAATCAAAATGCAATTTTAATGTTTGGATATATAGCGTCGGTAGACCAGTTTCTAAATGCACCATATAATTTGGGGTATTTTTCGGCAAACGAAACGTTCTCTTTATATAAAATGTCTGTAATTTTTCTACTGCGTCATATTTATCAACACCCCAGATTTGCGCTGCATAATTCAGAACTGACTTAACTGTGGCTTCAAAAACTTTGTATTTTACGAGCAGTGACACTTTCGGATTTCCTAAGACATTTATCCAGGTACAATTAATAGCCAATTTAGCTTCCTTTAACTTCTCGTTCAAGTGGTTATCGAATTTTGCGTTATATTTCATATTTATTCCTAAATATTTATAATTATTAACCACTTCTAATTGATCATCGTTAAGGTACCATTTTTCATCATTTCTCAATCTTCTAGCATGTTTCCTAAATACCATCACTTTCGATTTGTCTGTATTTATAGATAGTCTCCATAAGTTGCAATATCTATTTAGTTCATCTATCATATTTTGTAACATTATTGGAGAATCTGCAAACAACACAATATCAGCAGCATATAATAGTAGGGCTTAAGACACAACCTTGTCTCACTCCGGTACACGTTTGGAACCATCTCGAAGTACTTCTTCCGTCCCATACTGTTGACTCATTGTTGCAGTATAGACTTTACAGTATTTTCAAAATTTTTGTTGAAAGACCCAGCTGGCTTAGTTTGTAAAATAGTACGTTTCTTTGTATTGTATCGAAAGCAGCTTTAAGATCTACGTAAAAAACATATAACTTCTTGCTTTTTGCAATAAACTCTTGCGCTACACTAGTGATGACGAAAATATTATCTACCGTGGAGTAACCTTTTCGAAATCCAGCTTGAAATTCGCTTAATATGTTGTTTTGATCATTCTGTTATACAGAAGTGTTGTAAATACTTTAGCTGATGTATTAAGAAATGCTATTCCTCTATAATTTGATACATTATTTGGGTCACCTTTTTTAAATAGGGGAAATGTTATGGCTTTTTTGTAACTATCAGGTGGGGCTGCATTTTCAAATATATAATTGTATGATTCAGCCATATGCTCTATAAATTGTTGGCATATAAAATATTGGCATATTTCAAAAACTCAGCTGGAATTCTGTTTTCACCTGCGGCTTTGTTATTTTTTAAATTCTGGAGCACTGCATAGACTTCTTCAATCTTTATTGGGGCATCTAACGCTTCATTTATTACATACGGCAGGACATAACTGAAAGACTTGCTTACTATATTGCTATTTAACTGGTTTTTAAAATGTGCCGCCAAAGCTTCGGCGTCCACTTTAATTCCTTTTATGTAATCTGCACGATTTATTTTTTTAACTCCACTCCAAAATGATTTACTATCAGCTGCTTGGGATATCGACATTGCCATTTCAGTGAAATATGACTTCCTTTTCTCATCACACAGCTTTTTGTATTCTCTGTTTACATTTTTGTATTTCTCTAAATCAGCTATATCACCACCTTTTTTAACTGTTTGTAGCCATTTAAATGATTTCTTTCTTGCAGTTTCACATTCAAAATCATACCATTTTTGTTTCCTATTTATACCCGCCGAATTACCCTGAAACGATTTTGCTGCTTGTTTTACACAATATTGAAGAATGTCATCTCCTTCCTTCGACGCAAATGTACTACCTTCGCATGCATTAAGGGATTCTTCAAGCTTTTCTTGGTACAGATCTTTATATTTATCTTTCCATATCAGTTTCGGTAGCAACTGCATTTTATTTTCATTTGAATTAGAGGCATCTAGATTTACCATAATTTCCAGTGGCTGATGATCCGAGTATATCATGTCACGTATTTAAAACTCTTCAGTTATTATTAACCATACTTCTTTCACAAAACAATAATCTATCGTTGACCTTGCTACACCTCTGATAAACGTAAATGTACCCTCTCTGTCGCCTTTAGTGCGGCCATTTAACACGGTGACACCAAATGAATTGCAAATTTCTAGTAATTGTTTGCCATTTCTATCTACAATTGTATCCATTGCTACTCTGTGGCCCAATAATTCAGCCCACTGCATATTTGGGCTGAATTCCAGACATTGTTCTTTGCCTATTCGTGCATTGAAGTCACCTATTATCATGACATTTTCGTTCTGAGCTTCCACTAATATTTCACATAAGTTATTGAGATCATTTAGCCAGTTATTGCAATTTAGGTAAACTGGGATTAAACATAACTTTTGATTATTAGTGGTTATCTCGATTATTGTTGAGTTCATAATGTGCTTGTACACCACAGTACCGCAAAATTGCAATTGCTTTCGTACACCATACAATTTTCCTCCACTGGCTCGACCTCTATTTGTTGTTCTTGTTGCAGGCACCCAATAAAGATTGTATTCTATAAATGTGTTTTCAATGTAATCTGTCTTACTTACTAAAAATGTTTGAAATAAAACAAATATATCGAATTTTTAAATATACTTCATAAATTCTATAAACTTATACTTATTTGCTAAACCAGCTACCTTATACGATAATATTTTAAATTTAGATGCTTATTTAGTGTCTGACCTGGCGGCATTTGCATTTTTTTGAGTTCCACAGTATTTAATTTTTTGTTTGACATCTTTAACGATTTCCTTTTTTACTAACAGTTTTTTGGCTGATTTATTTTTTAAAAAAGCTTGTTTTTCTCGAGCACTTCTTCCACTTCAATCTCACCATACAATTGCTTTAATTGCTCAACACCGTCACCATCTTTGCACTTTAGTTTCTTATTTTTATCAAAGTGCATCCATTTTTAACATAAATTTTGTGAGTCTTTCTGATGGCTTGAAGATCTCTTTTCAGCTGTAATAAAGCTTATTTATTTTCCTGTCTAGTCAAGCTCAAGTCCTTTTCAATATAAATCGGAGTGCCATGCAGTTTTTTACCATTCTTTAAGACATCTTTTGCCATTTCTGATGTTTCCAATTCTGCAATTACACTCACTTTATTTTTCTTTTCAAATATTACTTTTGTGTCTCGAACTTTAATACTTGTCATAGCCATTTTATCTCGGAAAATTGCCTCCACATCTTTTTTTTTTGCTTTATCTTTTAGTAAACCTTTCAATAGTACATTACGACTTTTACTTTGTTTGACAAGTCTTTCAATCTCCCTCCTGTCCTCCTGTCCTCATCTCTATCATTTCTTAATTGTTCTAATTCTAGTTTTAGCCTTTGGTTCTCGTTCTCCAATTTTTCCATTTTCACAGACACGTTGCCTATCTGTTCTTTAAGTTCGCTTATGTCACT